CTCTCTGTTCCTCTCTGAAATCACTAAAAATATACATATTTTAAAAACTTTTCACACATTAATCAGTTATTTAAAATTCCGTTTGATAATTACAACATGTGTCATATCTGACTCTGGTTCTGATGATTGCTCTCTCTTCTGTGTTTGCCTTGCCTTTTGGCATGCCTAGTAATTTTTTGTTGAAAGCCAGACATGTTTTACTGAATAATAGAAACCGAGGTAAACAGGCCTCACATGTGAGGATTTACCTGGCGAGGGAGTGGACTGTGTTTAATGTTTGCTGTAGTTATAGCACCAGAGGCTGCAAATTCTTCTCTTTGTCCCTGTCTTAACTTTGGTTTTCCCTAATTATTCCTCCTCAAGAGTCTGTCTTGCAGCTTTCAGCTGTAATCCACTATGATTATACTGGAGCCCTGGTGGTGTGGGGTAATATTGGGGGATGGGGTTCTATAATCTCCAGGTCAAATCTCCATGTTTCTGTGGGCCTGTAACCTTCACGAGAGTTTCCCTGGTGGTATAGCTTTCCCCTTGGTACCTTCCTCCCTCCGTGCCTGAAGCTTTCCCAGTACATTTCCCTGACATCTTCACCCCGGTTGATGTATTCTTTCCCCTTGGGTGAGAAAGGAAGGCTAGATGGGCTGCCGCTAGAGTGAGACTCTCCCTCCCTCGGGGAGGAGGCTCTGGCAGTCTTTTACCCTTCAGAGTAGGCCTTTGTAACGAAGTTCTAGGCATATGTTACAGTGATTATTCATCTCCTCTCCCTGCCAGAGCCATAGGGGGTCTTTCTTGCTCTTCACTGTGGGGATCTGGCGGGGTTCTTGGAGGGAAAGCCCAGGAACCTGTGGAGACCCCTCTAAGACTGCGACCACACTCAGCCTCCAGCAGTTCATCAACGTTACCATGTATGCGCTCCTACCCGCTTATCGCTCCAGCAGCTTCTGCTCCAGGGATACAGATTCTAACTGTCTCTCTAGGTTTGGGGGCAGTAATTTGCCCTGCAACCTCAATTCTCTGATGGGTTCATCCAGGAAAGGTCACTTTCAGTCTGTTCAGCTATTTCTTTTTTTTTTTTTTTAATATATTTTATTGATTGTTTACAGAGAGGAAGGGAGAGGGATAGAGAGTTAGAAACATCGATGAGAGAGAAACATCGATTCAGCTGCCTACCGCACACTCCCCACTGGGTATGTGTCCACATCCAAGGTACATGCCCTTGATTGGAACCGAACCCGGGACCCTTGAGTCCGCAGGCCGATGCTCTATCCACTGAGCCAAACCAGTTAGGGCGCTATTTCTTGTTATAAGGAAAAGATCTTTACATGTTTCAAGCTTCTTACATGTCAAAGCTGAAACCACAGTCCCCTTTATTTTATTTTGAATGGCCATTCCCTTCCCTCCATCTTGTCCCATACTGGCCCTGTCTCCTATCTGGCTGTACTAACAATGAACTTTCCATGACAGTGTTCTAACAAGACTGAGTTTCTTAAGAAAAAGGCCCATATTTAGCCCCTTGTCTATGTAACACTTTGCCCATATAAAATGCTAAATGCAGTGATTTCACTGGTCACGTCCACGTATGGCACTCATCTAACAGTAAAAGCTCCGTGGGGCGGTGTTCCCCAGCACCCTGTCCTCTGAACTCCCTTTTGGGCTTTGGAATGAATTTTCCCAAGGCAAACTTCACTTACTGTAAATTAAGATTTACAAAAGTAATCTCTCAACATCTGGTAAGTCCTGACATTTTCTCAATTTTCTGATTTCTTTTTGTAATGACTTAGCCAGGTTAAAGTAGCCAAGATAAAATCTGACCAAATTCTGCCCTGGCTGGTTTGGCTCAGTGGACAGAGCATTGGACTGCGGACTGGAAGGTCCCGGGTTCAATTCTGGTCAAGGGCACATGCTTGGGTTGTGGGCTCGATCCCCAGGAGATCAATGATACTCTCTCATCAATGATTTTTCTATCTCTCTCTCCCTCTCCCTTCCTCTCTGAAATCAATAAAATTAAAAAAAATAAAAAATAAAATCTGACCAAATTCCTAGAAATCAAAGGGCCTCTAGCTAAGTGCCCAAACCTGGCTATTTCGAAATTATCTGGGAATATTTTTTAAAAAAATAAAGTCTTGGACCCAATCTTGAGAGTAATTGTGGTGTACAGATAAGTTTGGGAAAATAGGATACTTCTAATCAGCAAGCTCTTCAGGTCAAAAAGTGCTTTGATACCCTCAAAGTCAAACTAAAAAAAAACACACCAGCCATTTAATCACTTATGTTCTGCCTAGAGGACATAGGAAATGTTACTGAAAATTCACCCTTTCATTCACTCAATAAATTTATTGAGCATCAAATAAGGCCTGGGGACCAAGTCACAGCCCCTGTCCACAAGAAGAGTCAGATATACTTATTCCAGGGCCATCACATCCTGGCTAACCTGGAGTGTCACTTAGGCTTTCAGAGCCTCAGTCTTCTCATCTATAAAGGAGAATATTATTTCATAGGAAAGTTCTCTGGCAAAGATCACAAAGAACTATTGAGGAAGACAAACTCTACCCTTCTAAAAGTTTCTAACTTGTTTCCCAGTCCAAATGCTTGCATAATGTAATAACCCCAGCTAGCACCTACTGAGTGGTTCATCTATATGCCAGGCAGTGTGCTAAGCTCTCTACCTGTCCATCCACATTTCAAACAAATCTTATCTGTAAAGGCCTCCCCCGTTCATTGGCTATATTCGTCCTCACTCCTGTAACCAAAACAGGCAAAGTAAGCCGAGGCAACCGGGAAAGTAAGCCAAGGCAACCAGAATAGGACTTTTAACGTAGAGTGGGCCCTAAGAGAGCCAAGTTGAAAAGCCACAGGATGTAATAAATAAAAGATGCTCCCGGCGACCCCTACCAGAGGTCATCATCACTACTGAGGATCACAATGGGCAGAACCTCCAAAGAAAAAAACAAATACCAGATAAACCCACCCAAAAACTGCCATGGATTTAGTGGTACCATTTGCTGTTACTACTAATGTATCTGTGATTACCATTGCCATCAGAGAACTAGTATTAAGCCTTTACACGTCCCAGACATTGGTGTTCTTTGGACTTGACATTTAGTACTTCACAGCTCTAAGTTACTCAAGGTCCCACTGATGTTGACCCTCTACAGTTGGCAGAAGTTGAGACGAAGCAATTACTTACTAGGACACAGCCCACGACTCTTGCTGCATAACCCACTGCCAAGTTCACTTCCATTCTTTTAGGAAGATTCTTAAGGGCTTCTAGAACATCCTCCTGTGTGGTTAGAGTTAACAGTCCCTGCACTTTTACTTTACAGGTTAAAGATGTAATTTTAACATAGACCATGGTTTCACTTCTCTGAAAGACAACACTGAAGAATACCATCCCTGGCAAAAACATGTTACCTGGAATAGATAACTTTTCGCGTAACTTAAAACCTTCAGCTTTCTGGAGTTTGCCTGCCCTTAGGAAACTGTAGTGGTTAGAAGCAAGCAGGCCAATACAGCGCATCCTAAACCACATTATTACCTCAGATATGAATAACCAAAATCAAAATTCCAGTGAGTATTCCACCTCAGCACTATTGACATTTTTCTGTGAGAAGTTATCCTGTGCCTCACAGCGTCTGTAGCATCTCTAACTCCTGCCCACTGGTTTTCGGTGGCATTCTCCAGTAGTGGCGAGCAACATCATCTTGGGATGTTGCCAAATGTCCTTCGGGGTTAAAGTCATCCCTGGTTGAGAACCACTGCTTTCGTGGTATTATTCAGTTTAGCAGAGCTACCATTACTTTGTTCTGAATACCGAAAACAGACTTTATTTCTCTAGCTCAATGAAATAAAATTCACAGTTTAGCTTTGTGTCTTAAGTGAGTGAAAGCTCCAATATTATGGAATTGTGAAATACTAAGGCTTTATAGGGCAGCTCTGACTTTGCCCTGTGATTTCCAATCTTCTTGGTGGAAAACCTAATTTGACTGAGACCTAAGCTGGTTTCCTCTCAAACGGACAGACGTGTCTCTAGGTGCTGCTCTGGTGTGGGAGGACAAACCTGCCTTACCTTGGGGATGAACTCTGGGTCACTGTGGGTCCCATAAGCACCGGATGTTGTGCAGAGTCAAACTAAAAACCACATTCTGGCTGCAAAGCTCTGGCCATACCACAGGCTACGCAGCAAGGAGTCATGTATTTTCTGTTTGTTTGTTTTTCTTTATCATTCACTAGAGGCCCCGTGCATGAATTTGTGCATGGGTGGCATCGGGCCAGCCTGCCCCAATGGGGGCCCATCGAGGCTGGGCCGGTGGGGGGAGGGGCCACGGGCGGTTGGCCAGCTGGCCCTGCCCCTGATCGGGGTATTGGGAGCCAATTGGGGGCCGGGCTGGCCGGGGGTCAGGGGACGATCAGGGCCCAGATCAGGCTGGTTGGCTGCTGCAGTGCACGTCATAGGCACCGGTCATTCCATCATTCCGGTCACTGGGCTTTTATATATATAGATACAAGTCAGGCTTTTTTATCATTTATACCAGTTTGTCTTGGTTAAAGAAGATCAAGAGTGCCACTATCCCAAACCAAATTAGAGAGCATGAATCTGCTGACTACAAAAAAAGTTTTATACCCTTGCTGAGTTTAAGTCACTCAGATGAACGACAAAAAAAAAAAAAAAAATCTTCTATAAACTAGGAGACATGGTATTGACTTATCTTAAAAGGCCTTCAAAAAAGAATGACTTGAGATTATAAAGCATTTTTCAAATACACAAAGTACTTCATAATGACTCAATAAGCCTTAAGGAATGCTTTCTTTTTCTTAGTACATCACTTTTTTTGTTGTGTAAAAGAAAATAACCCATTCAAAGGGTGGTGGCATATTTGATATCACCACTGTTTAAAGAGGAATGAAGTTACAGGAATGAGAAGTATATAATTAGTAAATAATCCCTCTCAACAAGTGAGTTAAGTAGGAAAGTTATAAAGGAAGAAAAGCCGGAGGCAACACCATCAGTGCATATCAGAAATGCAGTTTTATTTTTATTTGAAAACAACTTAAATTTTTAGACAAATGATTTTAGTATATAATTTTGTTTTTGTTTTTGTACAGAATATAAAGATTCCCCTCATTGATCTTCCATGTGAAGGGCATTACAAGCCTGAAGGGATACATTCTGCATACGAGTGTGTGTCTTGTGTGCAGGATGCTGGCAACCAGTGGTCAGAGCTCCTACACGTAAGTTAGGTCAGGGACATCACATATTAAAAAGGGGATAGAAGATTTCTAGTTAATCAGATTCAAGAAGCAAACATGACACAAAAACTGTGCAGCTGAGACGAGTTCAGTAACTTTAGTCGGGACACTGCGGATTATGCTGGAATAACAGGTGTGTGAGGCGAGAGTGTGCAGCACATTAAGAGCCAGGAAGAGCTATTCTATAGAAAGGCTGGAATGAGGGATTTCACTAAAGCAAATTAACTTCTTGTCAACTGCCAAAGCAAAACAAAACAGAGCAGAGCGCATGAGTGTTAGTAACTGCAGGCATGTTAGACCGGTTTCTGTGCAGCATGCTAGGTTAGTTAGAGCTTCTTCACTGGCGCATACGATCATTCATAGTCACAGAAAGTTTTTTTTGCCACTTCTCGGCAAATTTCAGGCATGTCGTATTTTAGATGGAGTATAGCTTTTATCTATTATTTCATCCTGTAAAAACATGTGGAGACAACGTTCATTCTGTGCCAGAGGATGACCAGCGACCCTAGGAATAAAAGAGATAAATTTAGTCCAATCTCTTATAAAAAGAGGTGGGGGAGGTGTCAAACACTAGTTTAAGGTTATAAGCAAATACGATTCAGTAGTTGTAGGTGTTACTCGGAACTGCCCATAAAGGTACGCTCTAACGTTTCCAACGTTTATGGTAAATTTTCTTTCCTTTGGTTCACAAGGTAATTTGAAGCATTCAATCACTAGCATTGCACTGCTTCTGGCATTATGTACCCAGTCAGCTTCTTCACCTATTAGATAGTATATTATAAAAACTTAAATTAACTTTAATATTAAAAGTGAAGTAAGACCTGATTCTGAGAATCCATTTTAAAGGAGGAAAAGATATAGGATTAGAGCTAGAAATACACTGGAGTTCAATAAAAGCCCCAAATAGTAAGAAATAGGCACCAATGTACAGAGGGCTTTTTTGT